CTGTTTGTCAGCCCCATTACAGTTCGCTGTTTGTCAGCCCCATTATAGTCTGACTGTTTGTCAGCACCATTACAGTCAGACTGTTTGTCAGCCCCATTACAGTTCGCTGTTTGTCAGCCCCATTATAGTCTGACTGTTTGTCAGCACCATTACAGTCAGACTGTTTGTCAGCCCCATTACAGTTCGCTGTTTGTCAGCCCCATTATAGTCTGACTGTTTGTCAGCACCATTACAGTCAGACTGTTTGTCAGCCCCATTACAGTTCGCTGTTTGTCAGCCCCATTACAGTTCGCTGTTTGTCAGCCCCATTGTAGTCTGACTGTTTGTCAGCACCATTACAGTCAGACTGTTTAAAAGCCCCATCACAGTTGGACTGTTTGTCAGCCCCATTACAGTTGGACTGTTCTTCAGCCCAATACAGTTGGACTGTTTGTCAGCCCCATTACAGTTGGACTGTTTGTCAGACTCATCACAGTCTGTCTGTTTGTCAGCCCAATCACAGTTGGACTGTTTGTCAGCCCCATTACAGTTGGACTGTTCTTCAGCCCATTACAGTTGGACTGTTTGTCAGCCCCATTACAGTTGGACTGTTTGTCAGCCCCATTACAGTCAGACTGTTTGTCAGCCCCATTTAAATCAATGGACTGTTTGTCAGCCCAATCACAGTTGGAGTGTTTGTCAGCCCCATTATAGTCTGACTGTTTGTCAGCCCCATTACAGTCAGACTGTTTGTCAGCCCCATTACAGTTGGACGGTTTGTCAGCCCCATTTAAATCAATGGACTGTTTGTCAGCCCCATTTAAGTTGGACTGTTTGTCAGCCCCATAACAGTTGGACTGTTTGTCGGCCCCATCACAGTTTTTTTCTTGATAAGCATAAACACAAGTTGTCATCATTTAGCGAAATGGTTGAGTAGGGAGAGGCATTTCTTGGAACCAAATTGTTAAAATTGTAAACATTTAATGCCAATATTGTTAAACGTTGGAAATGATGATAAATCATGGATACAGTGACGTGTAAATAATGATATAACTCTTACAAAGTCTTTAGAGTATTTGGTTTGATGATACTTGAGTTGTATAAGCAATCCTATTGGAGATATTTACGCTATATCTACTAGCTACCATCTTTTACTGGGAATCCGGTATGATATAATCTCATTCTGCTACAGAGTTATCTTGCTGACATAATAACAAACCCCTATGTGATCTTATAATTCGTACATTTTGTAATTTAGAAATGTTTGGCACGTGATGTATATTTTGGCAGTCCCTGTGTGCATATTAAAGAGGAGATAATACCTGGGTATGGTCCTTTGGGATCCTGCCAACAAGATATTCGGTTATATAGACTGATGTCTGAGAGTCGTTCATGTAAATGGGAAATAATTCATTTCATGTTTTTATCTTGACACCATGAGGAATTTTATTTTCATTTTCGCTTTTCTCTGTCTTTCTCATTCATTTCTCAGCGTGTTATGAGTTCAACATTTGTAATACCCCATGGAGTTCACAGCCCCAGATAGAAACCCTCCTGTTTTTTATGTGGTAGCTATATAGCACTTGGACAGAAATGTTTATCTTGTCTGTAAAAACACAGTAAAGAATGATGAAGCTTAAACTCATTAGGCCTGTATTGGCTCCAGCCCCCCCCCCCCTGGGCTATGTAGAAATAGATGTGCATCTATGTCAGATGTAAAACAAATGTTTATTACCTAATTTGTTTTGACAATACAACTTGATAGCAAATATAAAATTCACGATGGTATCCAAGAAATGGAACAATATCTAACAGACATTCTAACCTCATGTGTGGTAAAATAGAAATATAACATTCCAGGGGTGGAATTTAAAAAAATCGGTTACTGGTCCAAAGGGCCAGTTGAAGTAAAAATATGCTGGTCCTGTTTGAAGTGCACTGGTCCAGATAACAATTAAGGGCTGCAGGTCTGATTGAGCGCCAAAGGTACTCCATACTCTTCTGACCCCCCTCCCACCAGAAATGTTGAAATCTAGAACTCTGTGGTACATTCTGGGCTTAAAATAAAGCTTTTAAAATGTGCTGAATTTTTAGATAAATATACAAGATATCTACTGGCCAGGAGGGATAGCTTGTTGAAAAACCTAGTGGTCCACCCGCAAAACCAATTGCCATTGGACCAGCGGTTAGTTCCCTATATGTGTTAAATATCGTACTCTCTACAGTATTTATCTGTACTATTTCTGTGATGGCATGTTTTTTTGAAGAATGTTGTACACAAATTGTCCTGGCTATTTAATCTGTTTCCTGGACATGCTTCGACAGCTTCCTGTTTGTAGATGAACAGCTGTGGTTTTTAGCTACCAGGAAATCTATTTGAATATATATGTATGTATGCTGTGTACGTTTTTAATCTAAATATGAATTGTGTGAAAAAGTCTCCTGAAGAATTAGAGTAAACAATGGCGTTGTATATTTCCATATACGGTATGGTTCCGCATGAGTTATATGTAGCTTTCTACATGTATCTTCTCCTCTGATCAATAGCACATATAAAATGTCCTTTAACCATTTCTGTCTTATGAGAAATATGTAGATGGTCACAGGGACGTGTGTGTGATATACATATTTTTACCTTATGACGTCTTCTTACCATTATATACATGGTCACAGGGACGTGTGTGTGATATACATACTCTATTCTTACCATTATGTAAATGGTCACAGGGATGTGTGTGCGATATACATATTCTTACCTTATGACGTCTTCTTACCATTATGTAAATGGTCACAGGGACGTGTGTGTAATATACATATTCTTACCTTATGACGTCTTCTTACCATTATGTAAATGGTCACAGGGATGTGTGTTAGATATACATACTCTTACCTTATGACACTTCTTTCCATAAGAGGTTCACAGGAAAAGATTTGAATTGTTTTGTACAAGTGGTTGTTTTGACTTGTTTGGTTGATGGCACGTTTGTTAAACGCTTCAATATTGGTTATTATTAAGGGAGACAAGTGTGAAACAGGTACAGCATGTAAGGCAACACACATCCTTAACTCCGACTCCATATTTCGTTTAAGTTTGATATGGTGTGTTTTTTACAAACTGATTCTAAAATGACGATGTTTTTTGGTGTCTTTCAGTTCCCTCAAGACTGCAGCTTGCGGGCAGGGGAGCAGTTATACTTACGAAATGAGCAAAAGCGATGTTCACGTGCCAGTGACACCTCAAGTGCGTACTCCGGGTCCGACATGATGCAGTCGTCCATTGACGACCAAGAAAATGTTGATGCGGACCTTTCCGGACTCCAGGAGAGCAATGTTGACCTTGACTCGGATGAGGAGGAAGGCTACCCGGAATCGGAGGTATGTTTGTGTCAGAACTTGATGGTCAAAGGCTTAAAGCTTTATTCTGGTTTCAGATTTATAATTCATGTCCAACTGTGACAAAGGCAAATTTTACAAGGCATTCTTAGGTTTGTTAGGTGAATTTTTTGGCAGCGATTTCTAGAAAGTTTCACTAAAGATAGTCATCAGAATTTTTAAAAGCAGCAAATGTTTTAAGGGGAGTTTTCTGAAAATTATTTTGATAACTGAAGATTGTCTGAAGAATCTGGGAATGCAGCTCATTTTTGTACTAAAAAGCTCTATATATTTGCAGTTTTCTGAAAACTATGTCATTCACTGAAAATAGAATTCATAATCCCGGAAAGCAGCATGTGTTTGACATATTTATATAAAAACAAAGCTACACCCTATTTAACAGGGGGAATGACTAAGTATGTGTGGTTGAAGTAGGGAGGTCACTGTGGTCTGTCTCGCTACAGTAAGAGGGAAGATGTATAATTTTGTACCGTGACTCTTAGTCTTATGTATACTAAACCTTTATCTGGGGCTCAGCTGCTGTTTTTCGGTGTAAACACCGTTGTTTTTATACTCTATGTACACCTATAGTATTGTTTATCGCAAACGGTTCGTCACCCACATGTAATGTGATGAAAAATCAAAGGTTACTGTGCAATCACATTAATAGCATGTTTTGTGTAGAATTGTAAACAGTAGGACTATAATGTTGTATTGTGAAAATAGAAACACAGTTGTTCATGAAGCAAATACGTTTCCATGATCAGAAACTGAACAACTGCATCATAGATAGGACAAAGTCCTGTTGTCGTCATGTCATTTTTCCTGTAAAAATAATATTGTGACGATGGTAATTTTCTTATAAAAAAACTATGGTAAAATGATCTCTGGACTGGTAAACTGTTATCCTGACAATGGTAATTATAAAATCTCATTGAGACTATGGTAAAATTTAATTGAGCTTGTGAACTTTTATCGTGACGATGGTAAAGTCTTTTTGAGACTATGATAAAATCATTTTTAGACTGGTAAACTTTTATTGGGACGATGGTAAAGTCTCTTTGAGACTATGGTAAAATCATCTTTAGACTGGTAAACATTATCGTGACGATGGTAAAATCTCATTGATACTAGTAAAATGATCTTTGGACTGGTAAACTGTTATCGGGACGATGGTAAAATCTCATTGATACTATAGTAAAATGATCTTTGGACTGGTAAACTGTTATAGTGACGATGGTAAAATCTCATTGATACTATAGTAAAATGATCTTTGGACTGGTAAACTGTTATAGTGACGATGGTAAAATCTCATTGATACTATTGTAAAATGATCTTTGGACTGGTAAACTGTTATAGTGACGATGGTAAAATCTCATTGATACTATTGTAAAATGATCTTTGGACTGGTAAACTGTTATCGGGACGATGGTAAAATCTCATTGATACTATAGTAAAATGATCTTTGGACTGGTAAACTGTTATAGTGACGATGGTAAAATCTCATTCAGACAAAGGTGAAATCTAATTGCCATGAAGTGCTTTTTATATGACATACATGTATATACTTTTTATATGACATACATGTATATACTTTTTTATATGACATACATGTATATACTTTTTATATGACATACATGAATATACTTTTTATATGACATGCATGTATATATTTTTTATATAACATTCATGTATATACTTTTTATATAACATACATGAATATACTTTTTATATAACATGCATGTATATATTTTTTATATAACATACATGTATATACTTTTTATATAACATACATGTATATACTTTTTATATAACATACATGTATATACTTTTTATATAACATACATGTATATACTTTGTATATAACATACATGTATATACTTTGTCACCCACGCTGAAGTGGATTTGTTTTACGTAAGAGAGGGAAGAAAGGACAAAATTAATGGTGGGCGTTTAAATACAAATTCTGAATGGAGATGAAGCTGTTGAAAACTTTCGTTTTATCAGTGTCCGATGACGATACAAGTTATTTTTGAGGACTTTCCACTTACAGGTCTTTTGATCTCGGTCTTTCCTTTCTGATGACTTCCTGTGTAGGAAATATTGTCGTTTCCATGTGCACCATGATACAAATTGCGTTGGCGTAATGATGTTAAGATTATTTGTAATTTGACGAAAAAGCATCTTAACAAGAACATCTTTGTTTATATTGGCAAGTGTCTCTAGTTACATCAGGTTTTAAAAAGATACAGAGAGTTTGAACGGGTTTTCCTGACCAGGATATGTACACTTGACTAAGTAACTGTTCGTTGATTATAAGATATTTTGGCAGTCATCATTGATGGTTTCTTAGCTTTGTTATAGGGATGTAAAGCAGTTCAATCACAAATAGTACTTGATCACCACATATGATAGTCTCATACAATAAGAAATTGGAGATTATTTCCACAAATTAATGAACATTTTGTTTGATGTTTTCAATAGTTTGATAACAAAATAACAAATAGGATCTGGAGCATGGATTTTTGGGGAAGTGATAAAATATAACTTTATGTAAATGGTTGTTAATCAGGGGTGAAAATCATGGGCGTTTTTGTTATTAAGCCAATGACTTTTTTTAAACAAACAGCTAATTAAGGAACTTTGATTTTGATGGATTTATTAAAACAGACAGTTCATAGACTGCTTTGTTCTGTTGATCAAGAATCTGGGTGCTATCAGCAAAAAACCAATTTGGAGCCACTTTTGGACGTTTTGGTAGGTCTGAACAGCTAATCTGAACTGTCATGAGGGGTTGGTTGATTGGACTGGTAAAAACATTTACAGAAATGCAAGAAATCTGTTTGTGAATTAAGTTGCGACGTTTGGTATTCTACTTTTATACAAAGCTTGTAGTACCAGCTTTCAATGTTTGTGAAGGGGACAGACTGTTGGCGTTTACTTGTCGCAGTAGATGGACAGTTACTGAATTTGTTGTGTGCACATCAAAGGCGTTGTCTTCTATAGTCGTTGCATGTATTGAATTTTTCCAATTGAAAAAAAAACGGAAGAGAATTATTTCGCTGAAGTTTTGCGTATTAAGTATATTTTGGTGTTATCTGACCCGATTGGTTTCTTATGTTATGTGTTAAATGTTTGCAGTTGCTCCGTGATGCGGTCCAGGAATGTCTACAAAAGGACCCCGCTGATCGAACCGAGGATGATATCGGAACTCTCCTGGAATTCATCCAACACTTCAGAGTAAGATGGCAGGACAACACTTACCAATTACTATGTTTCCGTTCTTTAAATAAAATTGAGTTTCCTGTGATATTTTTGTAAACATTTTGTGAAGGATATCGCAAGGTGTAAAATCAGTACTCATGGGTAGCGACATTGTGAACTTTGGCGTAGTTTCATTTGATTGAATACACAAGAAAGAAACATTATATCAGATATGGAAAAAAAAAAGAAAAAAAAATTCACATTAAAATTCACAGAAAGGGAAAATTTGAAGTCTTTGATTTCCAATTAGTAGCAAAAAAACAGAGAATGTTTTACTGTTAGGAACAGAATTTTGGACTATGATTTTGTATTATTTTAAATATTAGATAAATTTTTCAATAACAAAACTTCTACAGCATTGACACTTTTGTATTCATTCATTTTCTTACAATATAAGGCATGCGATGGTATGGAATTTACTATTTAAATGTTTGTTATGAATCTTAAGTGAATTGTTAACTTATTTGTGTATGATTCGCTAACTAAAGAATTGATTGGTATATAACATGAGAAGGATTTGACCAATTACATAACAACTTACCTGACAGGCGTTTGCCAACATGACGCTACCTATCCGGCGTGCCCTGTGCTCGGTGATGGTGTTTGCTGTGGTGGAGAAACAGGGCCAGATTGTGATGAACCATGGAGAGGAACTCGACTCCTGGTCAGTCATCCTCAACGGTCAGGTGGAAATTGATTACCCAGATGGAGCTGTAGAATTCCTACACATGGGTGACTGGTGGGTTGACCTTACTAAATATCTGGTGTATTGTTACTTTTGCTTTCCATATATTTTGCTTTGTGTGATTTACATATCAGTCATTTAGCAGTTTGAACCATTTTTACAACATTACAATTTTTCGAACATAAAAAAGGATATGTATGTAAATTTATATTTATTTTTTATGCAAAAAGATTGAATTTTTTCTAGATTTCCTTTTAAATGGTAAATTAAAGAAGCTGATAACCTGTGACTCCTCCCCGAAAGTTGCACCACAGGAAAACAATTCTTCTTTTGATATTTATATACAAATTTTGCACCATGCTGGAAATGATCTTGTTCGCTGGGGTTTGTTATAAGTGTATTGAATAATGACCTTTCATGCCATTCTGGAAGTGACCTTTTGTTATATCATGTAATGACCTTTGGTGTGACCTTGACCTTACAGTTTTGGTATTACGCCAACGATGGAGAAGCTTTACCACCAGGGGGTAATGAAGACAGTGTGCGATGACTGTCAGTTTGTGTGTGTGGCTCAACAGGATTATTACAAAATCCTACACCAGGTAAGCTCGTCAATAGGTATATTACAGAATACTACACCAGGTAAGCTCGTCAACACAAATATTACTGAATACTACACCAGGTAAGCTTGTTAATACAAATATTACAGAATCCTACACCAAGTAAGCTCCTCAACACAAATATTACAAAATACTACACTAGGTAAACTCGTCAACAGGATTATTACAGAATACTTCACCAGGTAAGCTCCTCAACAGGGTTATTACAGAATACTACACCAGGTAAGCTCATCAATAGGGTTATTACAGAATCCTACACCAGGTAAACTCGTCAACAGGATTATTACAGAATACTACACCAGGTAAGCTCTTCAACAGGATTTTTACTGAATACTACACCAGGTAAACTCGTCAGCAGGATTATTACAGAATACTACACCAGGTAAACTCGTCAGCAGGATTATTCCAGAATACTACACCAGGTAAGCTCATCAACAGGATTATTACAGAATACTACACCAGGTAAGCTCATCAACAGGATTATTACAGAATCCTATACCTGGTAAACTCGTCAACACAAATATTACAGAAAGCTATACCAGGTGAATTTGTCAACACAAATATTACAGAATACTACACCAGATAAGCTCGTCAACAGGTACACAAAAAAACAGAACTTCACCAGGTTCATCAGGTAACTCTTCAACTTCATAAACATCAAACTTATAAGTTTGGGGGAGGGGACTTCTTTAATATGTAAACTTTAAAAGAAGGTTTATGATCAACTTCCTACCAGGTAAACATATCCTCAACGTTAAGGTTAACAGGAAACAATTGTTGATAAGGTATTTGATCATGCTTTTTTTCCCTCTGTCATAGGGTGAGGAAAACACACGAAGACATGAAGAGGAGGGAAGTATTGTCCTTGTGACGGAGCATCGGATATTTGACGGGGGAAACAGACGTGGTCATATCGTGATCAGGGTAAAGCTATATGTAGCACTTGTAGAAGTCTTTCAGAATCAAGCCACTGAATTTTCTTGATAACTTTTCTTTATGTGTGAGGCCTTTACCATGTTGTATACATCTTATTACCACTTTCTATTTATGAATTGAGACATGAAATTGAAATAAGAATAACGGGCAAAGTTTAAAAAAAAAGGTTGACAAAAATCGTTTTAAGGACATGTAATTAATGCGAAACAGACGTGGACTGTTATTTCAAACCGGTACAATAATGAATACTATGCAATAGAAAGATGGGATGTGTTTTCTTAAAATGATCGATTTTATCAACAGATAGATATTGCTTTGGCATATTCTGTACATATGAAGCCTGCCAGATGGCAACTCTGAGCCTGATACAACCTGCCTGATCAGATACATTGGTTTTAGTGTAGTGTTCTGTCCATCTAGGGTACAGCGGAGCGTCTCATGCAGCACCTAGTAGAGGACCATTCTGTGGTGGACCCCACATACGTCGAGGACTTCCTCTTGTGTTACCGCATGTTCCTGAAGGACCCGTCGGAACTCTCCTCGCGGCTAAAACAGTGGTTTGAGGATCCAGTACTTCGGCCTAAAGTAAGTTGACTGCATCATTTCCTGCTCAGCAAAGAGTTGTAGAATTAGTTATTTCTATCAAATTTCACTGATCAGGGGATATTTTGGACTTTATTTGTGTTGACCTTATATTAATAAATATTAGATGACAGACATTTTCTTCTCATCCTCAGTGGTTGGATCATAAACATGTGGAGGTTGGTGATTTGTGATATTGACTCTGTGTTACTATTTTCAGAAACAGCAGGTCAATTTTCACTTACGACGTCATTGTAATTGAATATCACAATGCTATCAGCCAAATGCAGTGTTTTCTTCAGGACAATTTTCATAATTATGTTGGTTTTTTTTTTTAATGGTTAAACATTATTTAGCATCTCAAAAGTAAGGACTTTTATTTTGGTGAATATGTGGTTATATGGATCTGAAAAAGTGATATTGACCTCGACTTCATCTTGGTTAGTAACGTTTTTCAGGTCTATATAACAACATATTTACCTCAAAATAAGTCCATAATTAATCAATATTATCAATAGATACTGTGAAAAAATTGTGAATAATGGGTTGTTTCAGAAGTTAACTCTTAACCCTTTCACCCCTATGTAACTTTAGTAGACTCTACCATGCATTGATCTGGATGAGTCCATTATGGTCTACAGTGGTGAAAGGGTTAAGGGGGGTTTGGTAAAAATTAAGTTCTGTCAGTACACTGATTAGCATGTTGTATTTCTTTATGGACATCAGTTGTTAAACTCTACACTTTCAGGTTACCAGGGTTGTACTTCTTTGGGTGAACAATCATTTTATCGACTTTGAAATGGACGCTTGCATGTGCGACTTCCTGGAGAAGTTCGAAAAACTCCTGGAAAGGGAGGTAAGTCTTTCAGAAAACGTGTGCTTTGTAATTCTGCTCCCATCAGTTGTTGTGGCCGATTGTGTTTCTATATTAAATGACATATTCATCTCTGTGGGTGTTGTTAACGAGGATTTTAACATTAATTAACTCAGAATGTCATCGGGGAAAATATACATTGGGACATGTATTATGTAACCATACAGATTTTTTGTCTGACTTTAACCATTAACAGATCTGCTCCATACGTAAATCAGAACATCATGTAGACGTATATATAAATCCAGGTTGTACTCTATATCGTAATCAAGCTTCATTGCTGATAAATAAAAGAGAATGGCAATACACATACTGTAAAATGCTCTGTTATATGTACCGCTTGGTTTCATATTTGACATTTTCATTCATAAGAGTGAACATTTTTTTAAGGAATTTTATTGATTTAAAGAAAGTGAATTTTCATTCAAGACCAACAGCAAAAAAATTAAACTTGAAAAACGTTATTCATCAGTTGCAATTCACCAGTGCAAAACATATACATGGCAAAAGACTTTATGATCTCGCGTCACATGATCAACTTGCGTTATATGTATATGATATATATTTCAGTTATCGTCTGACGTAAGTGGTTTGAGTAAACAGTGATTTGGAAACTTGAGGCTAATTGGTCAAATGTAAATCTGTTTCAATGTAAAGACTGAACTTTCAGTTAGAAGTCAAACGGCTCAGTGATAAAGCCTGTTGACCACAGCTCGACTTTCCTGGTCACTGTTCAACAAAGTGCTTGGCAAACTATGACACTGCTTAAACAGAGATTGATTCATTAGTAGAGTTAGCGACAGTGAACTTCTGTGCTTTTGCTTTTGATAAAAGAGATTTTGCTGCTGAACCTTGCAAAACTAAATTATCTCTCTATGTCTATAAAATTTTGGTGTAAATATATATATAAGACAAAAAACACATTCTGAAAGATTTAGAAAAACTTGATTCTAGAAATAATGAAAATGGTTATATTAAACTTGTTAAAACATGAATGTTATAATAGCTCTTGGTGCCATGATTTTAACATTTCATTAAAAAACAATTTTCTGTTTGTATGATGTATAGAACAAGTATTTTCTTAACCAGAAAAACTTTTTACTTCCAGCCCGATGTATCATAAAAAAATTCGCAGGATTTAGTTATGTAGCATAAATATTTTTGCAGGATTTTAGTTATTTAGCCTGAAAAACATCCAATCCAAGTATCTGATTATCTTAATTACAGATAGATGTTTCAAAGAATTGTTCAAAACTTTAATACTTGGTTTTTTTTCTGGATAAGCGAAAACACAAAATGTCCTTGTTTCTGATGATGTATTTGAAAATTTTCATACCATAGATAATGGAAAAAGAAAAACACTGTGGAGCATTTAAATTTTATGATACAACGGGTTATAAGTGTATCTTAACAGGCTAATGTGTAACATGCCTACAAACCTTTGATTATTAACCAGACCATGATTGGCCAATCACGGCTACTGAACATAGCATGTGCGGCGAAGGCCTGCCCTCGTACAGTGACACTAACACGGGCCACGAGGGAGGAGGTGCTTCATTTCTCTGTCTTAGGGGGACAGGAAAGGGGATTTGGCATCTTCATTTCTAAGGTGGAGAGGGCATCTAAGGCTTATGAGGCTGGCCTCAAAAGGGGTGACCAGGTAATAGAAATTATATTCCCCTCTTGACATGTGTCTATGTTTGTGTCATAAAGTGGACCTCAAAAGGAGTAGCTACAGGTAAAAAAATAAAAAAAAATAAAAAAAATAAAAACATGGGTGTCTAATGGCTATTCTTATAACTGCTGTGGATACTGGAGGGCAAATTAGGGAAATCTAGTCTAATCAATGGATACTATTTTGTATATTTTGTTTTTGACAAAAATATAAGATCAGGAGTACAGGAGGAAGAAGAATCTAAATATTTTGTACTTTTGTTATTTCATAAAATATCAAAGGTTTAGAAAAATCTCAAAAGACAATTTCTATATGAAAACTATTGAAATGCTTAGTCTAGAAAATCAGATAGTTGTGTTTGCTATTGTGATGGATCTTCAGTGTGAACACGCGATTGTGTTGTACATTCTGTTTAGAATGATTAAACTTCAACTATTGTTATCAAAAATTACTGTTATCAAATAGCAGCATTTTGATTTTGACCCAAGAAAACAGGCTCTATTGTGTTAACTGTAAGTCTTGACATTTGTTGTTGAATAAGAAAGTATCTCGGATAAGAATATACCACTGTGACGTTTGTCTATGACATTACATCCCTTTGTCCCACCAGTAACAGTTAGACATGTATTTGAGAATAACTGCTCTAATAGGGGTGTGGTTTGAATGGTTTTAATGCTGTTGCAACATTATTTCATACACGAGATTTTAGCAATATTAAAGTCTAAATCTGAACCTTGATAAGGGAAGATGTGTTTTTTTAAATGTGTTTTTCTGTTAAAGGATATTTTGTAATTGTTTGAAGATTATTTTTTAAATTAGAAATGTGGCTAATTTCGTTCAAATTCAAATTCTAAGAATCTGATTTAGATAATTTGCATGCTTCTTTTAAAGTATTGATTTCTGTATTTCTTTATTAATTTATCAAGACTGCAAACAAACTACGGATATAATTATTTTTTGATGACTAGGATAGGAAACAGGAATTGTTTGCTTGGCCTAACATCTGTGTTGTGTGTTGTGCTCAACCTTTCTTTATTCTATGTGTTTTCACCTGTTCTTTATCCAGATTTTAGAAGTGAATGGCAGTAACTTCCTAAATGTGTCGCACAACAAGGCCTTAGAGACCCTAAGGGGGACAACTCACCTGTCTGTCACAGTCAAGTATAATTTACGAGGTAAGGGGGGATAACTCACCTGTCTGTCAAAGTCAAGTATAATTTACTAGGTAAGGGGGACAACTCATCTGTCTGTCACAGTCAAGTATAATTTACTAGGTAAGGGGGGATAACTCACCTGTCTGTCACAGTCAAGTATAATTTACTAGGTTAGTGGGGACAACTCATCTGTCTGTCACAGTCAAGTATAATTTACTAGGTAAGGGGG